CTCAAGAAATAAGGGAAAACATTTGAGAAGGCAAGTATATGTGGACAACATTGCACCAGTGTTGTTGGATTTCTGGTTAAACATTCACATACACAACAGCAGAAAGGGAATTCCTGGCCTTCATGTGATCTACAGATAACAGACAATGCAGCCTAAATCAACATTTCCATAATAGTGTACAGTTGGCTCCCCTTATCCATGGATTCTGCATTCATGGATTCATGGCTTGAAAATTTCCCCCAAAAAAGTAACTCCTTGGTTTTGCATTTTGTATATGAACATGATTGTACTATTGTCATTTCATGTAATGGGACTTGAGCATCCATGGATTTTGGTATCCAAAGGGGTTCTGGAACTAGCAGATACCAAGGGCCTATTGCAGGCATGGGCAAACTTGGGTCCTCCAGATGTTTTGGACTTAAACTCCCAAAATTCCTAAAAGCCTACCAGCTGTTAGGAATTGTGGGAGTTGGAGTCTAAAACATTTGGAGGACCCAAGTTTGCCCATGCCTGGCCTATTGCATATATTTTGCTTTACTCTTGCCATATGAACATAGATAGATTCACTGCGGTGGAGCGAATAATGCTGCTCCTTGTGCTATTGCAATGGAAAGGCTCCCATTCAACTCAGAGCAGCTTCAGGTCAAATGGCAGTGATGTTCAGAGTGGATCTTCCCCCATAACAGGTATGGCAGGTCCACTGGCTAACTTGCTATGTATAAACAAATTATTACTATTATGGTTCCCAGATGTTTAAATTGAGCAACGTGAAGGACATTTGTGTCCTAGTTTGACATACTTAATACATCCTTTAAATGCTGGCCATGTCCACTGATACTACAGTTTCAGTGATGTAACTTGAACTAAAGTGGTAATCATATCAAATAGATTCCTGGGATTTGTAGTTTACAGGGAGCCACTACCTGGTGGCTCTAATCCCTTTGATGTTGTTGAGAAACTTCTGTTGTTTCCTACTGATGGTGATCCTAAGACAATGGTTCCCAACTTCTTCTTTATTTTTATTTTTTTTACTAGGGACCACTCTCCAACATTAGTACCAAAGGGGTTAGGAATCAGTTTTTGGTCAACTTTAGATTCGATTTGGTTACTTGGGAGTGCTGATTCAGAAAATTGCATTGGATAAACCACATCAGTTCTAGTTTCAGATACAGAACATATGCCATGCAGTCATTGCCATCTGCTTGTCCACAGAAAACTATATTTAAAAATCTAGAGCTGATGTGGTCTATCCAGTGCAATTTTCTGAGTCGGCATCCCAAATAACCCCAGGAACAGGCCTAAAATGAAGACACCAAAACGCTCCCGCTTCCAGGCACCACATGGAATGGCTCAGCGGGGAGGGATGAAGAGGAGAAGCAGCAGTCAGGAGGCTTGTTGTTGCGCCTTTCCCTCTCTTGACATCCCCGTTGCCTCAGCACAATGAGAGGTTTTCGTGAGACCAGTCATTCTCATTGCAATGGTGTAGTAACAGTGAGGCCGTGGACCATATTTTAGTTCTTAGGGACCTCTGGTTGGGAATTATTGTCCTAAGACAAACCAGTGACAGGGTTATCTTGGCAAAATGTGTTTCAGATGGAGTTTGCCTGTCTTCCGCTTAGGCTGAGAAAGAGTATGACTTGCCCAAAGTCACCCCTCTTCCATTGCTGGCAAATCAATGGACAGTCAACTGAACAGGTCAAATTCTACAAATATAAAATTTTTCAGTCTGCTGGATCCTGAAGAGCTCAATTGTCTTATGCCATAGCAAATGCATAACCGAGTTACAATTTACTGCCTTGATTTCTTAATCGCTTCCAAAATGTAATCAACTGACAAAGCAAGTGTCTGAAATGAAGGCCCCAAAGAGTGCTCCTTCAGTGGTAGAGTCTCTCTTATCCAACCTTTGCTCATCCAACGTTCTGCATTATCCAACGTTCTGCTTCTCACCGGGATCCACTACTGTTTCAGTGCATTGCGGTTTTGGTACTAAATTTGTCAATACAGTAATTCCTTAGGTGATCCCTCGTTGTCTGAGTAGGATAGTCTTCCAAGGTCAGTGTACTGGTGGGTCCGTAGGTGACCTTGGAGCCCTATTCTTGATCTGCATCTTCCCTTGGAAGACGCCTGTGTGTGTGTTTTTTAATGTGTGGAGGTCAGTGCACAACAGTTCAACAGTCTTCACAGAGCAAGGTTCCACTGGTGGCACAGTTTAACACGACTGTGGCTTCTCAATCTGTTGCAGCCTTCTTCCGCCTTCATAGCCGTTGTAACATGTACCATGTTATCCTCTGCCTGCTCTACCGTTGAGGTCTTTGGGTCTTCGGACTGTGCTTGGTCTGGAACCTCCTCCGGGGCCACTCCTGGGAGTGCATGACTCCAGTCATTGGAACACGCAAGCCCCCTCACCACAAGGTGACAGTCCATCGAGGGGGAATACAGTAATTACTACATCATGTATATTATTTATTTATTTATTTATTTATACCTTTTATATACCATGTATTGAACTGCTTTTTCTGTCGATTTGTTGTAAAACATGATGTTTTGGTGCTTAATTTGTTAAATCATAATGTAATTTACATTATATTGGCTTTTTCTTAATCCCTTATTATCAAACATTTCCGCTTATCCAACATTTTGCTAGCCCATTTATGTTGGATAAGTGAAACTCCACTGTATTACTTTCATATTAATTGCATTGCAGCACTGGGAATGTTTTTAAAAACCTGTAATGTTTCAGTAAAAATCATAAATTCAGAAAGCACAGTTAAATGTCAAAATAGTTGCTTGAATGCACAAGAGCAATGCCCCAAAATACATTACATGCAAAGAGGTATTAAAACCTTGACTGCAACTTCCTGTAAAGGAAAACAGGCACAATCAAGTCTTTTTAAAAATAAAAATATAGAGGTGAACGAAGGGAGGGGACTTTAGCTGTCCATCAACTTTTTAAAAAAAATGAAACTCCTTCCTTAAATTCCCCCTCCTACTTGCAATCCAAACAATAAAACACAAAAAACCTTTTTTTTTATGTACAAGAGTTACTCTTTTATTAGTTTTGAAGACAAACTGATGCAGAGGAGGATGAGGGTCTTGTACTCTTAATATAATTGAAGAATTAATTTTCACTTATGGAAAAAACTGCATTTACTAAAACTTCCTCTTAATTAGAAAGTTCTACTATTTTTCTATTAAATATATTTTAACTACCTTTGATATGGGAAAACCAGTAGGGAAATCTTCCTTCAAAATCCAATTAAAATACTGTAATGTTAACATCCTTGACATCTGACTGCCCTATTTTCTATTCTCTTGCTTTTGTTGACTAAAGGTGGTTAAGAAGAATTATTGCAGTGGTCTGTGATAAGCCACAATGAAGACATGCTTGCAACTTTCATCAAAAACATTTCAAAGTCTAAACCAGGCATGGGCAAACTCTAGCCTTCCCAGTATTTTGGACTCCAACACCCACCATTCCTAACAGCCTTAGGCCCTTTCCTTTCCCCCTTCAGCCGCTTAAATGGAGGGGGAAAAGGAAACATCCAAAACATCTGGAGGCCCAAAGTTTGTCCATGCCTCGTCTAAACCATGGAGTGGAACATGAAGCCAGAATTTCAAGACTATTCTAAGTTGCATTAGATGTAAATGCAGGGAGAAACCATGGATGGTTTCACTCACAAAGGGATGGCTTTCCTGGTGGTGGAACAGCATTCCTAGCAAGGAGCTATACTGACAGAAAAAAAATGTTTTATTCTGAGAGAATTTGGTGTCAAGTTTCGGTTTCTTGCTTTTTTGTGTCTGAACTAATAATAATCTTAGATTTTTGGCAAGAGTAGATTTGATGCTCAGTTCCTTTCCCACAGAGATCTAGAAAACAGAAAGCGACCAAAAGCTCGGTAGGCTTAAAATCATATGGAGTCTATAACTCAAAATAGAGATGTTTCCCCATTAGGTTTTATATATGTGGCTGTTTTTTTTTAATTGTTGGTACAAGACTGGTATTAATTCCAGTCCACGTTTAGCAGGGGAATCAAAGTAGTACAAGAATTATTGGCACCACTGCTACTGTATCAGTAGAGTAAGACATTCCTATGACAAAACATATACAGCAACAAAGAAAAGAATTTAAATGAATGAGGTAGAGTTCTCTTAAAGCCAAAGACTTATTTGAATGGAACAAGCAATGAACAATTTAAAATTCAGTAGTATTTTGCCGTAGTTTCTGATTGAAAATCCAGATTTTTGTGTTAGAATTGTAAGGAAAAGTACTTGTATATTCTCTTTTCAGGCCTTGCTGCAGAAACACAAGAATTTGCAAAGTGAATTGCCTCCCTGCTGCCAACTTGGGTGATTAACTCACACTGAATCTGTACAAAATTGTAATCCTGAGTGCTGGAAAATAACCCCAGATCCCCAGAATGGAAACTGGGAGCTTGAGTGGTTTCTACTGTGCAAGGAAAGTAGCTCATGTGAAATAATTACTAAAGCTAAATTCTTCCACCCAGAGTACATCATGTTCCAATATATTCGTGTTCCTTTCACACCTCTTTGAACTGTGGGATGGCCGTGGTCTGGCTTAGCCAGTCCTTCAAGTGATGCTTCAAAGTAGAGATAACATACATCTCGGGTACACAACATATTTCCCCCACCCATCTCCTGTTGTCTCATGTCTAGAAATGAATGGGAAAATTCACTGCACTGTTTTTTTTTTAAAAAAACCTTTATATTTGAAAGAAAACAAGGTACTTTTACAGTGTTGCAACAAAGGGACACTGTGTTGTACAAACTATAAACACTTCTTTTAAAAGGAAACAGATTAAAGTCAATGTCTTCTCTGATAAATCCTTTTATAGGTGGGATGCTGGCTTTGTGTTTGAAATCAACACCATTCCAATGGATATAGCAAAATTTCTTTTCAAATTAAAAAGAAAAATAGCTTTAAAATTGATTTTCTGTTGAGTTTTGTAAAAAGTTCATATTTTAAAAATGTATTAATTTCTTTATATCTATAAAGAAATGCATCTCTTGTTAGTCTTTCTAACTAATTAAATGCAATGAGTGAGCAAAACAAAACAAAACAAAACAAAACCATAACCAAGGAAGTAATCATTTTAACTAAGATCCAAGGACACTTGTGTTTCTTCATGGGTGATGCAAAATATATTCATCATATTTCAAAGTGTGTTACAGCATGAGGACTCATAGAGAAGGATGGTTATCTTCAGTTTTTCTGTGATTTTCTCTCAAAATATGTACAAATCTTCCTCATGGGCACAGAAGTAGCCGAGATCTGTGGAACATAAAAAATACTGAGTCAGATACAAAGGGCTGAAGTCCAAAACACCTGGAGGGCCGAGGTTTGAAGCTCTTTCACACTAGAAAAAAAATCTGCCTTTTCCTCCAAGCACGTATTTATTTATATTTATTCCAAGCCTAATAAAAGGACAAGGGAAATTGTGTTGTTTTTTGTTGCTGCTGTTAAACAAGACCTCTAACAGGTCCAGCAACCAGTTTTTTGCCCTTAGGGCCCTATGTGGGCCATAAGAACTACCAAAAATGACAGAAACCAGACTCCACCTCACAAAACTGGAAACTTCTGGTTTTGGAAAATGGGTATTGTTTTAATGTTTAATAGCGCAGGGACTCCTGCAACCTATTTAAATTTGGAGGGGTCCAGCCTCTCTATAGTCTTGGGGGGCACCACATGTGGTCTCATACCGACACTTTGCCTGCTAAACAGTGCGAGCCCTTTAAAATCTATTGCAAATCCCCAAAAGACCTACCAGCAAATCCCTTCATCTGCCTCAGAAGTTTTCAGCCTGTAGGTCCCAGAAGTTTTGGCTTCAACTCCCAGAAATCCTAACAAGGGGTAAACTGGCTGAGATTTCTGAGAGTTGTAGGTCAAAACACTTGGGGACCCACAGGTTAAGAACCACTGATCTACCCTGTCTGCCCCATAGTGTGGACTACAATTCCCAACACTACCCTTGTTGTTTTCTTGTCAGAAGCGATTTTAGAAACTGTAAGTTGCTTCTAGTGTGAGAGAATTGGCTGTCTGCAAGGATGTTTTACCATTCTATGGGAGGCTTCTCTCATGTACCCACAAGAAGCTGGAGCTGACAGATGGGAGCTCCCGATCAGCAGGACCTTTCAATCAGCAGTCCTGCCATCATAAGGATTTATCCCATTGCACCACCAGGGGCTCCAACACTACCTCAAGTACCATTTTAGTCCTAAACAGCTAAAGGATGCCAGGTTTGGTTGGGGTGTAGCTACTGGGCAGTGTATTATAATGAAGGCACGATTTCCTCAGGTAAGAATTCTGCTTCCCAGTTCTCTACTATTATAATAAGTCAAATCTTGCACTGAACATTTTAAAATGGGTCTAGCAAAGAAAAGGGGCTGGTAAAGTTATCAAGGAATACAAAGACAGCAAATATATGAATTTTAAGTGTAAACAGTTTTCAGCACCTAAAAATTAAAACACAAGGAAAAAAGGAGCCACAGTGGCAAGTGAGTTATACTCTTGTGCTGCTGAACTGCTGACCTGAAGGTTGCCAGTTCAAAAGCGCAGGACGGGGTGAGCTCCCGCTGCCGGACCTAGCTCCTGCCAACCTAGCAGTTCGAAAACATGCAAATGTGAGTAGATCAATAGGTACCACTTCAGCAGGAAAGGCAAAAGATGCTCCATGTAGTCATGCCAGCCACATGACCAGGAAGGTTTATGGGCAATGCAAGATGCTTGACTTGGAAATTGAGATTAAGACCTCTCCCCCAGAGCTGGAGTTGAACACCGCCCCCAGAGCCAGAAATGAAAGGAGAAGCCTTTGCCTTTGTCTGTGTTATGTTTCATTGTATTTCACTGCAACAAGGCAATGAATGTTTGCCTGTATCTATTTATATATGCTGCAATCCACTCTGATTCTCCTAGGGGAGAAGAGCAGATGATGATGGTGATTATTATTATTGGAGGGCAATGCCCACATTCTGCTGTCCAGCTCTGTAGAAATGCCCCTGGCAAAGGCCTAGCATGAGCTGTGTATTGCCACTACTGCTCAGAGGACTTTTCAAAAAGCAGCAGCCTTTTAAAGAATATATTCAGATAAATGATAGGAAGAAAATATCATTATTGCAGTTGCTGTTGGACAGATCAAGGTATCAGTGCTGCATTTTTACTTACATATAAAAAAAATCTCCAAAGAAACTGAACTACATAGAGAGCAGGAGCCTTGTCTGTGTTTGATCTCCAAAGGCAGAGAAACCTGTGTTTCCCAGCACCCTTCCTAATACTGATTAAAATACAGGAGCCCTGCTATAAAAAGGTTTCTTTTCACTTTTCACAGCTCAGCTCCAGTCCCTTGTGTATCTATTGGTACAGATTGCATTGCTGCACCAGAGAAGTAAAGGAAAAAAACAGAATGAGAAGGCATCCTGAAACATATAAACCATTCTGAGCTATAGATTATGTTGGGCTAAAGATTAACTTTGTCTGTGCCTGGCATTTTCTAAACCACCTTGGATGTTTCCAAAAAGGACATTCAACCAGCCTAATTTCTTTAGTTCATTGGGGGAAGTTTCAGCTGTCTCAGGCCCCTTCCACACAGCTATATAAAATCCCACATTATCTGCTTTGAACTGGGTTATATGGCCGTGTGGACTCAGATAACCCAGTTCAAAGCAGATATTGTGGATCATCTGCCTTGATATTCTGGGTTATATGGTTGTGTGGAAGTGCTCTTAGACCAGCTCCCACCAAACATGACCAACATTGTGTGATTGTGGAGACTTTAATACCAATATACTGGGCAAGCCAAGTTTTGCTAGTCTTGGTTCAGCACTGTTCCATCATCCCTATCACTGCTCTGTCATACTTCTTGCCCTTTGTAAGCTTAAGAGTAGGTAGGAAAAACAAATGAGTTTAAAATTGTGAAAATGCCTACTAATTATATCCATTTGATTTGAAATGTGCTGTTAGCTGTCATCAAGTTGGCTTCATCTTAGAGAGAGGCTGTCACTTGCTTAATTGACTCCATTCACCAGTAGCATGGTCAGCCTATATTCCTACTGCCTTCCATTTTACCCATCATTATCTCCTTTTCCAATGTGTGATGTTATCTTATGATAAGTCCAAGCTATCATAGTCTTAAGTAATCATTTTGGCTTCTAGGGATAGCTCAGGTTTAATTTGTTCTCGTAACCATTTCTGTCTTATATTCCATTTTAAACATGTAATTTTCAAAGCATATACCGTATTTTTTCAATTCTAAGACACCATTGATTGTAGGACACATACTAATTCCAGTGCCACCAATACCACCACCAAAATCCATAAAATGCACCTGCAATTCTATTTTTAGAAATTTTTATATAGGAAAAAAGTGCATCTTAGATGTTGGAGAATGCAATCTCTCAAGCCTCCTTTATGTGATGTTTGTCTATTTTGTAGTATTTTGGAACATGAAGTATATGTCTTGCTTGTAGTTTGCAGTTACCTTCTCTTTCTATTGAAGCAGTGGGAGGGGCTGCAATCATGTGACCGATGATTTAGAATGTTCAGTATTAAAAGGAATAACTGCTAGCAACCACTATTGAGCCTTGAGCCTTGTTAGAGAATGTCTGCTGGAGCTAGAAGTTTCTTAGTGTGCAGAAGCTAATGTTAGAAGCTAGTAAATTGTTGAGGCTTCTATTTACTTTTAAAGTGAACTCTTATTGAGGAGAACTGTGTGGAGCAGCATAGTTCGTGAAGAAACAGTTAAAGTTGAAAATTTTTAAAATACAAACTCTCCAAATGTTTCTGAAGTATTTTAACCCACAAAAGAAATGTGCCTGTATAACTGGGTGCAAGACGTTATAAGTAAACAAACACTGTTATTCTAAAACAGTGTTCCTCAACCTTCCTAATGCTATGACCCCTTATTACAGTTCCTCATGTTGTGGTGACCCCTGATCATAAAATTATTTTTGTTGCTACTTCATAACTGTAATTTTGCTACTGTTATGAATTGTAATGTAAATTACAATTTACAGGATGTATTTTCATTCACTGGATCAAATTTGGCACAAATACCCAATACGCTCACATTTGAATACTGGTGAGGTGGGGGGGGGGGGATTGATTTTGTCATTTGGGAGTTATAGTTGCTGTCATGTATAGTTAACCTACAATCAAAGAGAATTATGAACTCCACCAATGATGGAATTGAACCAAACTTGGCACATAGAACTCCCACACCTAACAGAAAATACTGGAAGGGTTTGGTGAGCATTGACCTTGAGTTTTGGAGTTGTAGTTCATCTACATCCAGAGAGCACTGTGGACTCAAACAATGATGGATCTGGACCAAATTTGGCACGAATACTCAATATGTCTAAATGTGAACACTGGTGGAGTTTAGGGAAAATAGACTTTGACATTCGGGAGTGGTAGTTGTTGGGATTTATAGTTCACCTACAACCTAAGAGCATTCTGAACCCCACCAATGATAGAATTGGGCCAAACTTCCCACAAAGAACCCATATGACCAACAGAAAATACTGTATTTTCTGATGGATTCTGGTGACCCCTCTGACAGCCCCTTGTGACCCTCCCCCCCCCAGGGGTCCCAACCCCCAGGTTGAGAAACACTATTCTAAAAGAAGTCTGCTTGAATCTTTGCTTGCCTAAAGCATCACATAAGATCATCCAGCATCATCCGTTGAACTTGCTTGGAACCCATAAGTACCTCGACCAAGCTGAAATTTGTCTCCTCTCAAACTCTGCTATCCCTGATGGGTTGCAAACCTAACAGGTCATGGTCCATCTATTATCCCCAATATTAGAAGTGAAGAAATACAGTAAGTAGAATTTTAAAATACAGCGTTTATGTTACGTAGAAATTAAACTAACAAAGCTGAAGTAAACTAGCAAAAGGCCATTAGGTAGTGAATTTACTTACAGGTCCTCCTGTCCTGCTTTCCGGTTGTCTTGCACCCAGATTCTGCAATGACTGAATTTTGCTGCCTGCTCCGTTTGGGCTTTTAGATTTGTTAGTCTGTAACTTATTCCCCAAAGCAGACAGCCAGTTTCTTCTGTCAGGACAGCCATTCTCCTTGTCAGTCATTTCATCACAGGAGGCCTTGAGGAGGCGAGAAAGGCTTTGGGCGCCTGCAGAAGAGCAAGGGCTTCCAGAAGCAGGAGGAGGATCCTTCGCCAGACTCTCAGTGCTTTGGGCTAATCTGCCAAGGGTCAGGCACTTTTCCTCACAAGGCTCTGAATCCACCAAAGTATCCTGCTCCAGTCTAGATTTTTTAGAGACTGGATGAAGCTCGGCCACACAGTTGCAGCTTTTCAGGCACTTTGCATTGACTTCCTTGCTTGATTCTAGCCTCCTCTTGGCTCGCACTTCAGACCTCAAGTGTGTTGATTTGGAAACAAATGTGGGTTCAGAAAGTTCTTGTTGTGGAGACAGCACTTCTTTTCCTTTCAAAGGAGGAGACAAACTTGGAGTTTTGGTAACCCACTGTCTTATGGACATCGCTGAAGGAGGTGTCAGTTTGGGCGAAGTGCCTTCCATCTGCTGCCTTGACGGAACAGAGGTCATTGTAGTGGAGGCCGAGGTGTTGACTAAAGACCATGTGGGCGTGTTGGTGGGAAGAGGAAGGTCTCCTGTGTAAGCTGGAGCACAAGCGGCAGGTTGGGGTGAAGAAATGGGCGGGCTTCCCGCTGGCAGCACTTTGGCAGGAGTATTGTGCCTTTTCCTCAGAGCTCCTAAAAATGAAAAAAAAAAAAAGCATACACCCAGTTGAGGACCATGTATGGCAAGCATCAATAAAGCAAGGTTACGCTTAAAGGACAACTGAATGGCATAAAATGTCAGTGCTTCACATATCAGGTGTCTGAGGTAAAACTGGCAACTCTCCCACCCACATCTTACTCCATGCAGAGAAGGTGACCAGGTGGGTAAGTCAACCTTACTACAGTACAGTCAACAGGATGGTATCCTCCACTGTGCATAAAAGCAACCAAAACATTTATGAGGAAAAGGCAGGTCACATATTACTTTGTTTACTAGTTGGGCGAGTGGGCTTATTAATAAAAGACCCTCCTCATAAATATACAGCAGAGTAATTTCTTAGCAGCAGCGTGACCCAGCACAAGTAGCCCAAAGTGTTAAAAAAGAACAAAAACGCACAGACCAATTTATCTCTTCCATAGGAGGCTTTCCTTTGTAGTAAAATAATATAGTTGTAATATTTACAATAACTAGGTTTCCATAACACAAATAAACAAGTACATAGTAGCTTTGCATGCAGCAGCCTTCACACTGGAGACTTCTCACATGAGGCTTCTCTCATATCGGCCCTTCTAATATCAGGCCTTCCTCATACTGAGGCCTACCTCACAGAGAAGCCTCCTCACACAGACTGAGGAGTTCCCTCACTGAGGCAGACAAACACTAACCGGCTTCAGCCTACTCACTCTCCTCAGGACGACACTAACTTTGGCCCACTGACCCTAAAAGGCTTCGGCCTACTCCCTCTCCTCAGGCCGACACTAGCTCTGGCCCACTGACTCTAGCACGCTTCGGCCTACCAACTCTTTCAGTGCTTGACTCACACTTTTGTAATCAAAAATACCCAGTTAATTTTTAATATTTCTGACAGGACCGAATTTCCACTCATCATATGGCAAAGGTGGACATAGTACAGTTGCAGTTTCCACCATTTCTCACTACTGGCTATGTTGGCTAATGCTGTTGGGAACTGCAGTCCAATATCACCAGGAGGGCTAGACTTTCCCTATGCCATTATCAAGTAATACGAGTTTTTGGAAAATGCTAGTAATTATGCATAGTTTTTGGGGTTAAATTAAGGTGGTCTTACAACCATAGAGCTGGAAGAGACCACACAGACCATCTAGTCAAGCATTTCTCAACCTGGGGCTAGGACACTTGTGGGGGGGGGAGGTTGCGAGGGGGGTGTCACCAAAGACCACCTGAAAACAGTATTTTCTGTTCGACATGGGGGCTCTGTGTGGGAAGTTTGGCCCAATTCTATTGTTGGTGGGGTTCAGAATGCTCTTTGATTGTAAGTGAACTATAAATCCCAGCCACACTACAACTCCAAATGTCAAGGTATATTTTCCCCAAACTCCACCAGTGTTCACATTTGGGCATATTATTGAGTATTTGTGCCAAGTTTGGTCCAGATCCATCAATGAATCCACAGTGCTCTCTGGATGTAGGTGAACTACAACTCCAAAACTCAAGGTCAATGCCCACCAAACCCTTCCAGCATTTTCTGTTGGTCATGGGAGTTCTGTGCACCAAGTTTGGTTCAATTCCATTATTGGGGAAGTTCAAAATGCTCTTTGATTGTAGGTTAACTATAAATCCCAGAAATTATGACTTCCAAGTGACGAAAGCAATTCTCACCCCCGACCCAACCCCATCAGTATTCAAATTTGGCCGTATCAGGTATTTGTGCCAAATTTGGTCCAGTGAATGAAAATACATCCTGCATATCAGATATTTACATGATGATTCATAACCGTAGCAAAATTACAGTTATGAATTAGCAACAAAAATGATGTTATGGTTGGGGGTTACAACAACATGAGGAACTGTATTAAGGGGTCGTGGCATTAGGAAGGTTGAGAAACACTGATCTAGTTGAACCCGTTGTCATGCAGGAAAAGCACAATCAAATTACCATCAACAGCCTCTGCTGAAGAACGTCCAGAAAAGAAGATTCCACCACACTCCAGAGCAGACTATTGCTGAATAATAATATAATAATAAAAAACTTTATTTGTACCCCGCCATCATCTCCCCAATGGCAGCTGAACAGCTCTTATGGTTAGGAAGATCTTCCTAATGTTCAGGTGGAATTTTCTTTCCCGTAATTTGAACCCGTTATTCCAAGTTGTGTTCTCCAGGACTGATTGAAACAGGTGTCTTGTTGAAGAACTTTTGCTTCCTGATAAAGAATTGGGTTATGGAAGGCAAGAAAGAGCGAAGTAGCCTACTTAACTAAGCCTGCACACAGGCACGGCTCCAGAAAATAACTGCATTACAATCGGATTAGTTGTTTTCACCTAGTGACACTGCCATAATTTTATGCCATTGAAGTGGGTAGGGACCTTTGTAGATGCACATTCTTATTTAGACTCTCCCTGAAAAAGCGCTTGGTTAAGACAGCAGTGAATCAGAGGGCACATTGAGCATGTTGTGTGTTCAAAAAGACAAGGTCAGCCGGAAACCTGCTAGCGCTTGTGAGGTTCATGCACTTCCTTTTCCATTTGTCGGCTGCCTCAAAGCAGAACGAACGAGGAGGTATGACATTTTACCTAACAGAAGTGTCAGCTTTGACTGTAAAGACCAACCGCTCACACTACTGACAGTTTTCAAGCAGCGAGATTAAATAACCATTTTCTGTATTTATAGATGTAGGGAACATTTTAAAAAAGGAAAAGGAAAAAAAAGAAGCACAGGCTCCCAAAGAGGACAATGGTGCGTGCGGATAAAAGATATACACAGCAAGAAAGAGAACTGGCACGTCCTCTGCTATTGTTCTGCAAGCTTCCTGCATGTGACTCCTTTGATGGCAAGGGAATCCTCTGCTGAAAAGAGGCCAACTGGGAGGGTAAAAGCACAGTTAGAGAAGGCGTTGGCCACCCTATCAGCTGGTTTGAGCCCCACAAGAGGAAAAACGTAGATAATAAATTCCAGCCTTCTAGCTCCATGCAGTTTCCACTGTTCTCTCAGTAGGTCTTAGCAGTAGCAAACGAGAGTCCAAAAGTGGCAGGCTGAAACCCAGAACCTCAATCAATGGGTGATACCAAATGAGAGACCCCCCCCCCCCCCCCCCCCCCCCCCCGGGCACACAGAAAACTGGGCAACTTGGAAGGCGCTGAACAGACTGCGCTCTGGCACCACGAGATGCAGAGCCAACCTTAAGAAATGGGGCTACAAAGTGGAATCAACGACATGCGTGTGTGGAGAAGAGCTAACCACTGACCACCTGCTGCAATGCAACCTGAGCCCTGCTACATGCACAATGGAGGACCTCCTTGCGCAACACCAGAGGCACTCCAAGTGGCCAAGTGACTTCAGTCCCTGTATGACCACAAGCCCTATTGGAAACTCCATAACTTCTTGGAAATAACTGCACCATAATTTTATTGAAAAGGTAAAAATGATGTCACATCTGGGTTGTTGTAGGTTTTTTCGGGCTATATGACCATGTTCTAGTGGCATTCTCTCCTGATGTTTTGCCTGCATCTCTGGCAAGCATCCTCAGAGGTAATGAGGTTGTTTACTACCTCTGAGGATGCTTGCCATAGATGCTGGCGAAACGTCAGGAAAGAATGCCACTAGAACATAGCCATATAGCCTGAAAAAAACCTACAACAACCCAGTGATTCCAGTCATGAAAGCCTTCGACAATACGATGTCATGAATCTCCATGAACATGTGGAGACCACGTTTGAAGACCACTAATCAAGAAAAGTATGACCTTGTTAGAATTTATAAGCATTCATGTAATGGCACACAGGTAACTCAGCTGCTAAACTGAATAACTTTGTCTTTAAACTGCCAAGGATAAAGACATGCCACTGCAAAAATATATTTGGTTAGCAGAGCATGGTTGTTTCTTTGCAGTTGTAATTGCCCAAAAGATACACACTCCCTTGAAACCTCTTAGTTAAAATACACACTCAGAAATAAAAACCAAAGACTTCTTTGAAAAATAATATATTGTGCTTACTCGTAAACAACTTGCATTAATTTACCATACGGGCACATTTCTTATTAAAGTTCAATTACAGATAGACTTTGTGTTGAGTACACAGGGTATCATTCTTAATCAATTGTCCATAGTCTTTAAGTATACTTGTACTAACTGAAGTCCATAGTCATATTGTTTCCGTTAAAGTCCTAACAGCAACCTGCTTTTATTGAAAACCAAACATATATATGCATCCATCCTGTTCGGATATCAGCCAGCACACCAACGCCTTAAATTAAGAAATTGTTTCCCAAGATCTACAGAGATACTCGCAAGAACACCTCAGCAAGCGGGAGTCCAAAAGTGGCAGGCTAAAATCCAGAACCTCACCCCATGGCTGATACCGAATGAAAGGCTCCCTCCTGGGCACACAGAAGACTGGGCGACTTGGAAGGCTCTGGCATCACAAGATGCAGAGCCAACCTTAAGAAATGGGGCTACAAAGTGGAGTCCATGACATGCGTGTGTGGAGAAGAGCAAACCACAGACCACTTATTACAATGCAGTCTGAACTCTGCCACTTGCACAATGGAGGATCTTCTTATAGCAACACCAGAGGCATTCCAACTGGCCAGCTACTGGTCAAAGGACATTTAGCACAATGCCAAGTTTTTTTTAAAGTTTGTGTCTTTTAAATACATTACAACTGTACCCTCAGTTCACTTCTGATATGATAAATAACCTCCATTGCGGTCTGATGCAAACTTAATACAAAATGGAGTCCTGAGTCTAAACATCCACAGTATAATCACGTCTATAACTTCTCTCACACCAAAGAGGTACAGTCAAACTGGCAAATCAACATATGCATAGAATACAGTTAGTAAATATATACATTAGCAAATGAATAGTGAAAGACTTGGGAAGTTGCTATTTCCAACAAGCCCGATCCCCAGTTCCTGAGTACCTGCTACTATCCTCATCTTTCCTTTCTTTGCAACTAAAGGCCACTGTCTTGAATACTCTTGTGGCACCATTTATGCCACTGCGCCTAAGAAACTACAACACAGAAAAAAAAAATCAAACCCTCCACTTGTGGCCAGAACTCAACACGTGTTCTTTCTGATCCCATTCCCCCTCCATCTTTCTCCTTTCCCCCCTTGCGGCCTGCAAATGAAAGATCCTCCAGCATCCATTTCTCTTGTTCTTACAGTGCAAAACGCAAATGGCCCCACTGAGAGCAGTTTACAAAATAAACTAGCCATGTAAATCTGCAATAATCCTACTCACGGCGGAATTTTAGAATTTTAAGTTACAGTTTAACAACATAAACCCTTGAAATTACAACAGAAGGATCAGCGGGGCACAAGCTAAGGAGGCAGTTAAATCTGTGCAATTGCCCTAAGGCTCCTCATTATTTCCAGGCTTGTGGATTTTCAGTGGAGAGAAGGGGTGGGGCAGAAAAAGGTTGTCTGCTCTTAGCTTGGAACCATCCCGAGATTACAAGATAACTAACATTCCTGTTATTCAAACCATTCTATGTCCTACCCAGAGGGATTTGGATAAATATGGCTTTACTATTATATACAAGACAGTCTGGACTGGGAAACTGTATTTAAAGTTTACATTCCTTGTCGTTGCATTGTTTTGGAACAGTAATAAATACACACACGCCTGTCCCGAAAGAAATCCTCACTAAGTATGAGCGCTTTAAAGATAACTACACACACAAAATGTATTACTTTTACTTTTATAGTGGTCTGGAGTTCCTTGCGACGGAGGCATGTGAAACTTTAGGAGCTCTTTAACCAACCTGGTAGAGAATTTAATACCTCGCGGGGCACTTTTGTTTTCAATTTAGCAACATAGCAGATCTCTTTTCATTTACGCAAAGCCAAACATTCTCTTTCCTGCAGAACAGGTGCCACCCTTCAGGACTTTTGTGTGCACAAAAGCTGTTACGAAGACTTGTTCCAGTTCCAACTGGCTTCCATCCAGGGCCGAGTGAACAATCCTCGAGCCATATAGCAGGGCTCCTCCTTCATCTCCTTGCTCCTAAAGCTCATTACGTTACCTCCAGAACAGGACTTGGAGGCATCAGTTGAATAAACAGTGAAATCTTGAGGCTGTAGATATGTTAAATTATTTATCAGACCTCATCCATAATTATTACTCTATTTGAGAATTATATTACCTTTTAAATAGATTCTAATTAAATATGTTAAAGAAAATAAATTAAACTCATTCAGGTTGCTCTGAGTTTTTCGGGCTGTATGGACATGTTCTAAAAGCATTCTCTCTTGACGTTTAGCCCACATCTTTGGCAGGCATCCTATCAGAGGTTGTGAGGTCTGTTGTAAACTAGGCAAGTAGAATATTCAGTAGGGAGAAAGAACGCTTGTCTGCTTGAGGCAAGTGTGAATGTGAAGTGTGAAGCCTTGCAGCTTCAAGGCTTGGCTGCTTCCTGCCTGGGGAACAGGCAGAAACACAGAAATGCTGGACCACTCTAACAACGACCATGTCAGACTACACTAAGACGACACTGAAATCCACAAGCATGTGGACAATCTCTTAACAGAAAGGAGGAAACCATGAAAATGAACAAAATATGGCTACCAGCATTTAAAAAACCATCTAAAATCAAAATAGTAGATAAAGGACAAGCCTTAAAAAGCAGGAGAATTCCAGACAAGAATCAATCAGGGCCAGCTAACCCCCCCCAACAAAGGATTCTCCTAGGCAGGAAGCAGCCAAGCTTTGAAGCTACAAGGCTTCACACTTCAGATTCACACTTGCCTCAAACAGACAAGAGTTCTTTCTCCCACCCTGGACATTCCACAGATATAGAAACCCCACTTGCCTAGTTTCCAACAGACCTCAGAACCTTTGAGGATGCCTGCCATAGATGTTGGTGAAACGTCAGGAGAGAATGCTTCTGGAAGCCAGTGATTTTGGCCATGAAAGCCTTTGAGAACACATTTATAGTTTTAATGATTTAATTTATAGCTATATGTTGTTGTAAATTTGTGATATACTGTTTTTTATTGTATGCGAGGTATTGAATTCTTACCATTTATTTGATGTGCATCGCTTTGAGTCCCCCCAAGGGATTCAAATTTATTTATTTATTTATTTATGTAATAAATAAATAATGAATTGTTCCTGTACTTGCCACTGTTCAAGTTAAACTTTTATCTATTCTCTCCATGCCATTATTTTGAACACATCCTTCACCACACCCTAGATTTTAAAATGCCTACTGCAATGCCTTGAAGTAATAGGCTGACCTCTATAGTGCCCAATGAAGAGCATTATTCTCCTTACGTATCTCCACAACCTTTCAACACTCAAGGCTGCTACCATACTTTAAAAGAATTCATTGAGGACACTTTGTTGTTTCACCTGCACTCCTAACCTGACCATCTGAATCAGCCATGTGTGTTTCAGGAGGTAAACGTGACGAAAATTAGCCGCAGGCTAGGGTTGTATCTCACAAACTGTCAGATATCATCCTTACACATGTGCCACTTTCATGTTAGTGCCACTTGAGCTACATTTGAACAGAATATACATTATGTCTCTGTTCCATTACTGGCCCCAGAGTAGAAAATTTCTCAAGCTCCTCAGATGATCTTACCAGTTCCATTTTGCCCTTCCACTTTCTTCTGGCAGGCCCAACCAACCAAGCTACTCTTTTCTGGCTGGGTTTCTTCCGCAGAGTGCTGTTTTAAGCGCCAAATCTTTATGGTGTTGTCATCTGAGCATGTGGAAATCTGCAAAACAGGAAATAAGAGTCAACTGGGAAATGCTGCACTTCCTAAAGGATAATACATGCTGATTCTGTGAGCAGCAAAAGCGTGGAGACTCTGAAGCTGGTACATACCAGGGAGGCAACCTCAGAGCTCTTTTATTTCACTGAAAATCTCAGGCTCGCTCACCATGGATTTTAAGGGAAGTGACACCCCATTTCAATCAAAAATCAGGTGAAATTACAACCTACAGCTCTTTCCACTCTGCACTAGCAGGATCATAAAACCACCCAAACGGCTTTTATCATTTTTAAGCAACTGATTTATAAATTATGTTTCAACTTAAAATTCCAGAGAATTTGACAGGATTAAAAAGAATGAAACATGGCACTATGGGGCACAATTCCAATTGATTTTGACCTATAACATCTGGTTCTAATAGCTAGCTGGGATGCCTTTGCGCTACTGAGATGCTGACTGTAGTTACTGTTTATGTTTCCTGCTGCTTTTACAGATTATGGGGTTTGTATCTGATTTATACTAGTTACATTTTGTAATTGATTTAAAAACATTTTATTGTTTCTATAAAAAGCAGTGCATATTTGCTCAGCAGTCTTCATAACATCCCTGTGAAGCAGTTAAATACGTATTAACTCCACAAGGGCAAAGGGAAGATTGGAAGATACTGGTTGCCCATGGTTGGATAGCAAGGCAAAGCTACAGCGTCCCACCCATATTTTTAAAGGTCTGTTATGGTGGTGGGGCCAGGAAAAAGCCCTTTCTTGAGAACTGTAAGACTGGACGGTTCATACAGGGAGATATAATCTTTCAGATACTGTGGATTTAAGTGGATTTAAGCTGTGGATTTAAGCTGTATATGGCTTTATTGGCAGCACTGGGTCTACTGGGAAAGGATTGGCTAGGTTGGCAGAAGCTGGGGCTGGATTTGAACCACCAACCTTTCAGTCAGCAAGTGCAGCAGCTCAGCGGATTAACCCCTTGCGCCCCCAGGGGGCCCTCAGGATTGGCTATCCATGCTTTAATAGCAGGTGCTCGAATTGCTTTTATTAGTAAAGTTTCTAGAATTCCAGTGACAAGAGATAAACACAAACACAACATAAACACAACATTTGGAATGTGGAAGCAAACCTTGGTGAAGTCCGATGGACACCAGGCAACAGAGGTGACTTCTTGCAAGTGACCATGGAGCATCATGGGAGGAAGATGGGGCTCAGACACCTGGAAACCAAAAAATAAGACTAAGTATCAGAAGCAACCAATGCCCCTGAAGGCAATGGAAGAAACATTATGGAATAAATATATCAGGTAAGATGCTTGTGTATCAAGGCCTCCAGCTATTGCTGAAGGTAGAAACAAAAAATCCACTTTGATCAAGGAGAACATCCCTCTATTTACAAGCAATCTGTAACTACAATACAGGTTGATCATCCCTTATCTGAGCCTCCGGTGGTGTTAAGGATTAAACCCTTGTGCTGGCAGCACCACAGGAGAGTTAACCCTTCCCTATGCTATCAAAACCACTATATATGGGGGGGGGGGGGGTAGAGTTACATTTAAGAATGTACCTGTTCTGACTTACATACAGATTCAACTTAAGAACAAACCAACAGAACCTATCTTGTTTGTAACTTGGGGACTGCCTGTACATCACATGCCATCTTCCTCCTTGCAAACATTCTAGAAGATCCAGATGAAGGAAGGGAACAAGTATGTGGGAAGAGGGGGCTTTCAATCACATTTATGTGCCCTGCTCTAATACAGAAGAGTTCAGAGCGGCTTCCCTTTGGCTCGCAGACAGGATTCCATCAAGAGAGCTTACAGCACTGAAGCTGCTTAATTTCAGCAGTGAAACATGTGCTTTCGAGAATATTTCTTGAGCAAGGTAGAATCCAACGAGTTACAAAATACAAAATCCCCTTGGAAGCCCATTTTGCTGGTCTGAAAGTCAGCTGATCCACCAGCACATTTGCAAATCCTGCTCAAAGACAATGAGGCATAGAAATGTGGCAAAGGTCCTCTTGATGCCCAGTTCTGTAGCAGATTCCATGTTACACAGCATGCATTCAAATTTCTCTCTAAATGAAAATTACAACACAACTGCATCTGGGAGAGTCCAGTGAAACCTGCTTCCAAGTACATGCAGAGGACTACATACAGCCTTAACAGGTCACTCCAACACCCTTTGACAGCCCTTGCTGTTTTGAGCACAATAAATTTAGAACAGGCCCCGCAGCTAGACCTGCTTGCAATGACTCCATGCAAAATAGGAAGGGAGAAGTATTCTATCTGGCAGTTATTTAGAAATGCAATTACAAGAGGTTTTTTGTTGGCTATGCTAAACCTTGTTTCTTCTATAATACGAGTGCGGGATTTGTGGCTCTCTGTAATAATAATAATAATAATCTTTATTTATACCCTGCCAGCATTTCCCCAAAGGGGACTCGGGGCGGCTTACATGAGGCCAAGCCCAGAAATGCATTACAATACAGTAACAAAAAACATAAGGCAATATATTAAAATAAAACAAGACAAGTATAAAATATAACAAAACAATACAAAATAATACAATAGAAAATCAAACACAATCACAAGGAGCGGGCCACATGTTAAAATACAATGATAAAAACTCAGGATGAGATAAAGAAAAAAACCTACATATCTGTAAAGGAGACTCATGAATGGAGTAGTAGTGACAATCCTTCGTACGGACAGGAGACAATACAATATACACCCATTATAGAGGAGCATGACAAAGGAGATGAAAGATCACTCCCTGTATCAGAGACTGGAAAAGTTACTTCTTACTGTGTGCCTCCCAGAAACCCACAGCCTGCATAGCCAGTGGCTTAGCAGGCTGGGGCATTCTGGGAGATATAGTCCAAAAATAGAGGAGTATAGTATCTAGATAGATATTCTATTTTGCTTTGGTCAGGCCTCATCTGCTTTGGAGACTAGGGTGCAGAGAAGTGGGTTCAAATTGTAAGAAAAGATATTCCACCTAAACATTAGGAAAAGCTTCCTGATAGTTGTTGGGCAGGAGGTTTTAAACAGAGGCTGGACTGTCAACAGTGCTGGAATGGCCCTGGTAGTCTCTGCCAACGCTATGATTCTCGTGCACCAGCTGCGACCGTACATCGTGAAGTCGGATCTGGCCAGGGTAGTCCATGCCTTAGTCACCTCCAGATTGGATTACTGTAATGCACTCTACGTGGGGCTGCCCTTGAAGACGGCTCAGAAATTTCAGTTGGTACAACAGGCGGCAGCCAGGTTACTAACTGGAGCGACTTACAGGGAGTGGTCAACCTCCCTGTTTAAGGAGCTCCATTGGCTGCCGTTCATTTTCTGGTCCCAATTCAAGGTGCAGGTTCTTACCTACAAAGCCCTGAACAGTTTGGGACCTGCCTACCTGCGTGACCGTATTTCTGTGTACGAACCCACGCAATCTCTTCATTCATCTGGAGAGGCCCTGCTCTCGCTCCTGTCCCCTTCGCAGGTGCGATTGGTGGGGACGAGAGAGAGGGCCTTCTCTGTGGTGGCCCCCCCGACTCTGGAACTCACTTCCTAAGGATATCAGGCAAGCCTCCACACTGGCAGTCTTTAGGAGGAGCCTGAAAACGTGGCTGTTTCAGTGTGCCTTCTCCGAATAAGGAAATAATTCCCAGTAAAATGTCCTCAGAAGCACTTTAATTACTCGTTGGGTTGCCCTCCCTTTATTTCTTTTAAAACCCTCTTACCAGATACAACCTACCTCTGTTCACACCCAGCGTTTATTTTTTAAATCCGTGCGTGTTATTGTTTTATATGTGATTTATATTAATTGTATTGTTTTATTTGCTTATTGCTTTTTGTCTTTTGATGTGTTGTCGGGCTTGGCCTCGTGTAAGCTGCTCCGAGTCCCCTTGGGGAGATGGTGGCGGAGTATAAATAAAGTTTTATTATTATTATTATTTATTGTAACTACCACGTAGATACAAGGTCTCCTCTTTCTGGAATTCACATGCCTATTCTATAAATGCCATGGACTGGGTTTTGGTCACACATTTGTGCTAAACCAGCAGCAGCTTTTCAAAATGGTTCAAGAGCAATTGAAAAGAAATTACTTCACGCACTCAGAATCATTACACTGAGTATGAATGGGGAGTAACCTAAGTTAACCCCATGCAGCAGAATCTCAGATGCCTATTTCTATTTTTCAATAAGCTCTGCTTCCTGAAGCTATGAGTCACTATTCGTAATGTGATATTTGATGGGGATTTGCACTGATGACTAAGCGGGCCTAACATATTTTTCACCATGTGTGTAAATGAAGCTCGCAAGGATGTATGAAAGGCATAGAGGCATGAAAGGATGCTCCACTTTGCCTGATCCAGTTCTTTTGCAGAAGCCATTTCTTTGCCCTGGCAGCTTGAAAGCTATATATAAAGGCCTTAAGCAGAATACAGAAGACTGATTGAGTCTGCTCAACTCATTTTAAGAGGGCTTTCCTTCCAAGTTTAGATCTGCTTCTTGCCTATTTTTTCCTCAATGTCCTGTTTAAAATCCACCCTCCTTCACAAAGCAGACAATACCATGGAAACCAAAGCCCTTTTAGGGAAGACAGCTAAGCTCTTGGTAGAGAAAATACCTTTGTTTACATTTAGCAGATTTTTCTCTCAAAGTGTAGCAAGATCCCTTAATCCCTTATTAATGAGAGCAGGCAAAAGAACCTTATTTCCTATTGGATCTAGATTCAGAAGGGATATTAAATGCCCTCTGCATCTGGATAAAGTGCGTAGAATTCAGAGGAAAAAACACCCCAAAACCTATCCATTCTCAAAATGTTCATCTCAGAATTATGAGATGGCACAAACGGGAAAAGGTTGGCTCTGGATTGCCTTATTTATAATGTAATTATAAGCCTTATTCAGTGCCTTTGAAGGAAAAAGAAAAACATTCCCGATAAAAGAAGTTGAAGCCAAAGGACAGCCTACAGAAAAGGGCTGAGATACTGACAGATGATCCCATTTGGAAAAGTTAATCCATGTACAGAAACAAGTCTGCATTAACTGCGAATTATATATATGTGTGTACCAAATACTTTGGTGCTGCCTAAATCATGACTCCCAGTAACGTTGTTGCATTATGCTGTGTAACAAAAGCTTACTTCTTTCATACAACCAGATACTTGGATACTTTTGCAGGTGCAGTTGGTGGGATGAGGGACAAGGCTTTCTCAGTGGTGGCCCCTCAGCTATAGAACTCCCTCCCCAGTGAAATCAGGTCAGCCCCCTCCCTCCTGACTTTCAGAAAGAAAGTAAAAGCATGGGCCTTTGGCCAATAGTGCAGTGCAATAAGTGAAGTGGAATTATGTACAATAACGAACGAAACGGCCTTTGACTATGTCCTTGGATTGCATGATTTTAATAATGTGTTTTAATGTTTATATTGCTTTTTACTTTTTTGTTTTAATGTAAATGTTTATTTTTATTGTCTATTGATACGACATCAAATTGCTGCCGATTATAAGGCCGCTCTGAGTCCCCTTTGGGGTGAGAAGAGTAAGGATATAAATACAGGAAATAAATAAATAAATAAATAAATAAATAAATAAATAAATAAAAAGAGTAATTCAAGAGAGTAGTGTCGTTACAACTAGCTCCTGTCTCAAGTGTGAAAAATTGTTTGGAAAAATAATAAATGCCATACTGTCCCAATGTCTAAAATGGAGGCAAAAAGCCATAGCCCAGGACCGAGCATATGACAAAAGTCAGCCCTTTGTTAGTGATATAAACAGACCTAAGATGCACTATACATCTCGAATGTGATTTGCTGATCTGTTTGCGTTTGGGGCAATGCACAATGGTGATTATCAAGCCAACAGCACCATAAGCGRCTGGCGAGGAGAGACAGGGCCTTCTCGGCTGTAGCCCCCCGCCTGTGGAACACGCTTTCAAATGAAATACGATCGACCCCATCCCTCCTGGCGTTCAGGAAGAAATTAAAATCTTGGTTTTGRGACCAGGCTTTCGGACAATAAACATAAAGCAGCACTTTGACTGGAAATGGATTGGCAAGATGATATATATGAGGATACGGTTTGATTTTTCTATCAATGGGTTTGTGGATTGAGTATTGTTTTAATGACTGTTATGATAATTTGGTCATAATTAATTGCTATTGTTTTAACTATGTATGTATTTAAGTTTTATACTGTGTTATTGATTGATTTGTGGCATCAAATTGCTGCCTTTGTTAGCCGCTCTGAGCCCCCCCCCCCCGGATGGGGTAAAAAAGCTGTAAAAAAATAAATGAGCAAAGTTGCTCATGTGGGACCATTATACATGTGGTAAAGTATACATAACAGTTTGTGAAAAGACATTATTTCTATGCATTGCATTTGTACACCATGAACTGCAATTGCAGAAAGGGTTGCCAACCCTCCACACTAACCACAAACCCACATACATTGTGTTGTTGGTGTCCAGTCTAAGACAGTGGTTCTCAATCTGTGGGTCCTCGGGTGTTTAGGCTGACAACTTACAGTTATCCCAGCCAGTTTACCAGCTGTTAGGATTTCTGGGAGTTGAACATCTGGGGACCCACAGGTTGAGAACCACTGGTCTAGGGCTGCTAATGTAACTTTGCCAGCAGATACTGATAGTTCTGAGTAAGAGAAACAGTTCCTAACAAATTACAAGCCAGCTTTCCCACTTCTCTACTCAACATCAGAATCAAGTAGATATTAGCAAGACATCACAATTTATCCTCAATCGGGAATATTTGGAGGGTCCACTGCCCCACTCCCTCAGGGTTTGAACTGTTCTTAGCAGGGAACAGTGAACTGGGAAGAAATACGCAAATTTATGTAGCAAATCACATGAATGAATCCAGGCAATAGCCTTTTAGAATTCAGTACACAAGCTTTTAAGGTAGTTCTAAGAAGCTTAGGAATTCCCTATCTGGAGAGGCCAGCTGTCTTCCTTAATTTTGTTCCCAAATGCTTATGAGTGCCCCCTTCATCTTGTTTTCAGAGCACCAAGATAATAGAAGCCCCTGAGGGAGAGGAGAAGCCTACTGGAGAAGTATGCAAATCTTCCCTTCTTTATACAGATGAGCTTTCGGCAAATTGTATTATTTTAGTTTTGACACAGAAATGTAATTTAGCAGAAAGCAGTATTTCATCCTGCTTGTTTCATTCTCGATGGGATTGGCCTCAAAATTTCTAAATAAACATACTTGAGAGTGGAAAAAATAACATAATAAATATTTGCATTTTCCCCACACATCAGCTCAACATGCCGGCTAAGCTTCTCAGCTGCCACTCAGCGCTTAGGAATTTTGCTCAAGGCTCTGGCTGAGCCCTTGCTGTAATAATGCAGAGGTCTTAACTCTTCGAAATTAAGCAGCCAGGAGCAGGCATGCAGGAGGGAGGAGCAGACCCAAGTCTGATGCAAGGGCCCATAAACAGGGGAAAGTGCGGGAGGAACAAGCGAGAGACAATCGAAACAATTAAATCAACCAGACGCTGATGAATGTGGATTCCTGTTAAATATGAAGCAAAAATTATCACCTTGTCATAGCTAGACAAATAAATAGAATTGAAGAGGGATTTTATAGACCCATTAAAACCAGATTAAGATCAGCAACTTGAAATAAGCAGCAGCAAGGAGAGAAGAGGAAGGCAGAAATTTGGCTCTGCTTTATATCTAGGCTTATGCTCAGGCTTGACAGCTATGTAAGTTATGTGCAGCATGCCACACAGAAGGCAGAGTATTTTTTTTCTTGACTGCAACTCCCAGAACTCCATCACCCAGCATCAGCCCTGTGAGGAACTTCTCACTTTCGCTGCAGACATAACAAACACAGAGATAAAACAGCAAAGTTGGTGGCAGACCCTGGGTAGGGATCCTTGCTACTTACCTTCCAAATGTAGGCATTGTGGTCACTGGATCCGCTGATCAAGAACTGGTCATCTGGGCTAATGCTGGATTTGACATAGAAACTGGAGTTTTGATGCCCACTGAAAAGTGACTCTGAAGTACAAGAGGGAAGAGGGTGGGGAACAAGCACAACAACAGATTCAACTTAGAAGAGTTTTGACTACACAGGCCAATATTACAGGGGTTTCCTGCTCAGTCACATCCCCCAATCCAAGTTGTTAGGCACATTTCTTTTCACACTAGGGCAGGTAAAGGCAAATTTAGGCCCTCCAAGTGTTTTGGACTTCAGCTCCCATAATTCCTAACAGCAGTGGGGTCTTTTTACTATAGCCCCCATGGGTAGTTATCACCAGAAAGGCCGAAAGTAGTAGTAGTAGTAGTAATAATAATAACAACAACAACAACAACAACAACAAAAACAACCTTTATTTATATCCTGCCACCATCTCCAAAAGAAACTCGGGGCGAATTACAAGACACTGCAGAGAAGTATATAACGTAAATGATACAACATCACATAAAAATTATAAAAACTAAAAATGTATATAGAAGATCCTATAAGACTGTAGGAAGCGGATGTTAAGCAAGAGTCTATGATACTTTTGTATGTATTATTTAAATAGTAGATTGTGCCTCCTTAAAGGAAATATAAAGGACATTTAATCAACTACCAAACTTGCAAACTTTGTGTGTTGTTTGTTTGTTAAAAAATGCAACGCAACTGTTTGGTCTGCTTCTGACACGATAAATAAATAAAAATAAGGGAAATATATTATCTGAGAAATGATTATGGAACACTAACAAATGGAAAGTATTGCGCTTATGCAACAAACACTTGCAAATGTGAAATATAAAGGACATTTAATCAACTACCAAGCTTGCAAAATTTGTGTTTTGTTTGTTTGTCTGTCAAAAAATGCAACGCAACTGTTTGGTCTGCTCCTGACACGATAAATAAATAAAAATAAAGGAAATATATTATCTGAGAAACGATTATGGAACACTAATAAATGGAAAGTATTGTGATTGTGTGACAAACACTTGCAAATGCATGCCTATTTGAATAAATAAATAAATATTTTGAATGATAAAACAATCACTATCAACACATAAAATAATATAAAATAACACAATTTAAAATGCAGAAATGTCTGTAGTTAAAACTAGCTGCCATAGGAAGCCGAAATATAGGAGACAAGGACAGCAAATGTTAGCAGGGAAAGCAGGGTTCTAAGAAAGGGCGTACAAACTATAACCTTGGTTGTCACATTGCCCTAGTACTGTCACATCTGTCAGGCAGTGTCTCCATTGTGCCATAACCCTTCATCTTTTAGGCCAACTAACTTAGTTTTTTTTTATGTTTCACTGTGGTAAGGATTGGAATAGTTAAGGAGAAGAGCATAATAGCAAACAGAGATATTTGAAAGGGCATGGATGTGAAGGAAAACAAAACATTTTCACTAGGACCCTTCATCTAATCTCCTTCTGCCCATTCCCATTATGAGGTAACTGGTGTGAGCAAATGTCTGCACTCACTGGACCCTACCCTTGCTAATGCATTCCCAAGCTTCATCCCAGCTAATTGCTGAAATTGATCCATGGGGATTTATAAAGTCTGCATAGGGGGGAATACTGGGCATTCACAAGCTCAATGTGGGGCAGAACAGGCTCCCAATTTCAAGTCTTCCTGTGGAGACCAGACAGGTCAGTAGGGTTGCAACTGGCATAGGATTTTTGGGAGACAAGCGTACCAGAAAAAAGTGTGTACAGTACATAAAAACAGGCCTTGCTACTAGGAAACTATGTCCACATCCTACCCTATCCAGGCCAAAATTATCCTCTATGCCAGTGGTTTTCATAATCCTGTCAGGTACTCTCTCAGACATCCCTTTGTTTACCACAGTGGTTCGCAACCTGTGGGTCCCCAAATGTTTTGGCCTTCAACTACCAGAAATCCTAACAGCCGGTATTATTTATTTATCGTGTCATCAGCAACCATACAATTGTATTACAATTTTAACAGAGCAAAACAAACACACAGATTAAAAAGAAAAAGAAAAAAA